TTCTGCCTGGATATTTATTGGGGAGGATGCAGGGTCCAGGGAGAGCGCTCCAGCTGCAGAAGGAGGGCTGAGCCAACCATGTCTGTGGATCTGCTGGATGGTTACAGGTCTAACTTTGGACATGCATTTGGTCAAGGGCTCCTTGAAAGTTCAAGATTCACTTGGAATTGGTCAAGTTGGCATTTTGGAAACAATCAATTAGACACTAAGCCTTGATCCAAGCAGGGTGCCGACAGCTGAGACAGAAAACATCCAGACCAGAACCCTGCCCTCCAGGAGCTCCTGGTCTCATTAGCCAAGGGGGTGAGGTCCATACATGGTCTTCAAGGAAATAGTAGGGGAACAGACAGAATGAGGGGTGCAGGCAGTGCCAGCCCTTGAGCTCTGGAAGGGATCAGCCACTGCTAACTTCGGGGCATGTGATCTGTGTGTGAATGGCGGCAGCCAGACAGGAGATCAGGGCTCCAGCTGCAGAAGGGAAAAGCAGCCCATCTGTGCCTGCGAGGCTCCCAGGGCCACCTGGGCCCGAGCTTAGCTGAGGAGCCTCTTCTCCTGTCAATCCCCTGCCCCGACTCCCTCCCTGCCCCCACCAAGACCCAGTAAAACCCAAATCAAAGCCTGCAGATCTCCCCAGAGCACAGAGGGACGTGGTCAGCTGGACAGCGGGACGTGGCTACATAAAGGATCATAAAGACAGCGTCAGGCACTGCGCTAGGTACCTCAGTGAAGACACAGTGCCTCAGCAGCCTGGCATAAGCCCTCCTGCTAGTTTCTGAATAAATATCAGCTGAACTGATTTAGAGGCTAGGATGTGGCCCCAAAATCTTGATGAATAAAACCTGCAGCCCCTTCCTCTCTGGCTCAGGAAATCGTTCACATTAGCGTGCCAGGCTCTGGGGGCTGAGTGGGAGGCGGGAACCAGCTGGGGCTTGAAAGGAAATAAGGGGGTTCATTTGTGCTCGGTGTGGACACTCCAGGCACATGGTAATCCATCCAACATGAAACCTGTTCATTCTGCACGCAACATGGGATTCCTTTTGTGGCTCTTTTATAAACAGGATGGGCCAGAATCTTTCTGGGAAATGCCTGTGGGATTCACGTGGTCTTCTAAGGTGGGTCCTTGTAGTTCTGCTAACTCTGGGGAAGCAGAGAAGGGAGAGACTCTTTTCCTGAGCCCTGGCATTTATAAGTGTGGTTTGGGGGAAGAAAAAAAGGAGAGTGGCTGTAATGAGTAAAGTGAGAAAATGTTTCCCCAAGAGGATGATTCTTGAAGCAAAAAGGGAATTGAGGGCTGAAGGGGTTGGCAGAAGGGGATGCGTGGGTGTCTGCTGGAGCACCTCCCGAGTTCCTTCGGGAAGAAAGCCCCCATTTCATAGCTTTTTTTTTTTTTTTTTTGGCCGTGCAGCCTGTAGGATCCTAGTTCCGCAACCAGGGATAGAACCACACGCCCTGGAAGAACAGAGTCTTAACCACTGGACCACCAGGGAAGTCTCATCCCACATCATAGTCTTAATGACTTCTGTCCCCTCTCCCCAACAACCTGGCACAAAATACCTAAGCGGTATTTCGTTCAGATCATCATACCTAACCAAAGTCTAGGTCATTGAGTCATCCCTACCTTATCAGTGACGGTCTCCCTACTCACAGTTCACTCCTGTTGCTGACTCACAGGTCGTCTCTGAAGCTGTGGTCTTTGCACCTTGGGAAGATAATTTTGTAAAACCACATCTGCTCCCTGGCCTGAGCATTCGGAGAGTCATAACAGCATCTGGAACCAAAGCTCAAGGCCCAGGTTGATTAGGGCAAAGTCTCCAACTCCTTTTTCCAGATCTCCCTCCCCCATCAATCAGGACATTTAGAAAATGTGTGAAAAAAGATTAACTCTACTTCTGTCTCTATACAAATATAGCATTTTCCAGGTTCCATATTTCAATATTAAGATATCTTAAGCTATTAAAATTTCAGCAGTAATACAGCAGCACCACGAGTCCAGGAGGCAGGGGAGAGAGAAGGAATAACTGTTTCTAATATTTATGGACTCTCTGAACTGTGCCAGGCACCATGTGGGCTTTGCACACACTTTAATGCTCACGGGAATGGGGTGTGAAGTAGTGTGATTAGCCTCATCTCACAGATGAAGAAAGTGGGGCCCACAAAGGCTAAGTGCCACGTGCAAGTTCACACTTTTCCTTCCTCAGCTTCCTCGCCTCTCTCAGCTTGCACAGAACTGAAGCGAGTGAGGGCCTTGCTCCGCGTTAGGCTTTGGCTCGAGGGTACGTTGTGACTGGTTTGAACCTCTATCCAGGCCACTGACACTCTCTCCATATCAGCAATAAGCCTGTTTCACTTTCTTGTTATTCATGTGTTCACTTCAGTAGCACTTTTAATTTCCTTCAAGAAGTTTTCCTTTGCCTTCACAACTTGACTAAGTGTTTGGTGCAAGAGGCCTAGATTTTGGCCAGTTTTCCTTGGACATTCCTTCCTCACTAAGCTGAATCATTTCTATCTTTTGATTGGAAGTGAGAGGCGACTCTTCCTTTCACTTGAACACTTAGAGGCCATGGTAGGTTATTAATTGGCCTAAACTCAATACTGTTGTGTCTCAAGGAATAAGGGAGGCCCGAGGCGAGGTGGGGAGAGGGATGGAGAGTGGCAGGTCAGTGGAGCAGTGGGAACACACACCACATTTATGGGTTAAGTTCATCGTCTTATACGGGCATTTAAAACATTCACAATTGTAACATCGAAGATCACTGATCACAGGTCACCATAACAAATACAGTAATAAGGAAAAAGTTTGAAATACTGAATTACCAGACTGTAACACAGAGACACGAAGTGAACAAATGCTATTGGAAAAATGGCTCCCAGAAACTTGCTCGGTGCAGGGTTGCCACAAACCTTCAATTTGTAAAAAAACACAAGATCTGCAAAAAAGCTAAGTACGGTAAAAGGAGGTCTGCCTGTGAAGCTTTTGTGGGAGAGAGAAAGGGAGAGAGAGGGGAGAGGTCAAAGCAGTAAAAACCTTTTCTACAATTACTTGTTTATTAACCCCCCAAATACAGTTATGGTTTCAGAGAAAAACAGGAGCACAGGAAAAGAGAGAGAGAAAAAAATGTGATGTGTATGGAATTAATTAATGGACTAGCTTTAAGAAGCAAGAATTTGAAAGCCTTTGGATTTAGATGCTAGAATTTGTAGCAGATTTCCTTGCCCACCAAGAAGGCTTGTTAATCCAGATTCTTTAGGGATCAAGGGGATTTCTTACATTCCTCTGAGGGCAGTGGAGTGGCTCTAGCCTGCCTCAGCCCCACTTAAGGGCAGAGCCTCCAAAGCCCCCCTGACTGAACTGCGGATAACAAAGCCACCTCTGGATCAGCACAGAGACCAGGGTTTGCCTCGTTCAGAGAGCGGGTGGGGATCTGCTCATGAGGCAGTGCGGTTTACGGTTAATGCCTGAAGAAATGCATGAGCGCTGAACTTGGTTTTCACTTTTAAAAAAATCCGCTGACAGTTGTATTTCCTGTTAGAAAGCCTTGTGGAAGGGTGAGTCTAAGGGTTCTGGAGAATGAATGACAAGCATATGAGTAGCTTCGTAGGGACACAGGTGGGGATGTGAGGCACATAGATTGGGCGTTAGAGAGGCAAAGAGCTCTTGGCTGGAAACCCACCTGCCATTCACTGAGCCCCTCCCCTCCTTGGGGTCCCTCTCAGGTCTCCTCTCTGCTGAAAGCGTTACTAATGCTGGCCCATGCTGATAATAATGATGAGAGTATATTACCAGCAACTACAGTAATTACTGTAGGGGAGGAAAAACGTTGCCTTCTTCCCTTCTGCGTTCTTCGGCTGGTCTGATTATTAACTTGCCATGAGACACATTAATAGGAGAAAAAACAAACAAAAGGTTAATAGCATGTATACCTCCTGTATCCATGGGAGAGACTCAGGAAAACTAACTCCCTGAAATGGTGGAAACGCTCATCTTAAATACCATCTTCAGCTGAAGACAAAAGAAGATGTGAAAGGAGGAGGGAGTTATGAGAGGGTATCAGGAAAAGCACAGTGATAAGAGTAAGCTTATTAGGCAGATTGAAGCCCTTTGCCTTCTCCACTGATAAGAGTTTCTAGAGATTGAGTCCTCCCCCTCTTCCTGATACAGCAAGGGAGACACCCTTACAAATACAGATTTCCCTCACACACGTAAGCATCTTTTACAAGGCGTAACTTCTGCTTGGTTTTCAGAGCTGCTCCTGTGTCTGTTGTTTTTCAAAAATAACCAGCCTATACCCAAGGGGAAAGGGTGGAGGGAGGGATAAATTAGGCTGACATATACACACTACTATATATAAAATAGATAACCAACAAGGACCTACTGTATAGCACAGGGAACTCTACTCAATATTTTGTAATAACCTATAAGGGAAAGGAACCTGAAAAAGAATATGAATATATATTATATATGAATCGTTTTGCTGTACACCTGAAACTAACACAACATTGTAAATCAACTATACTTCGATATAGAAAAAATTAAAAAATTAAAACAACCAGCCTAAAATAATCGTTATACCAAAGAGACCTATTAGGGGGTGGCAAATTCTGCTCCCTTACATTACCAGTTATTTAATACCTACCAAGTGTTAGGCACTGTGCTGGGAACTTGACCTATAATACCTATTTCTTAATAACAATCCGATCCTAGAAGTAGTCCAACAAGCTTTACCTATATTATCTCTAATTCTCATAACAAGCAAAATTGGTTTCATTTCCCTTGTTTCACAGATGAGGAAATAAGGAGGTGGCTGTGTGTGCAGGGCCACACAGCCTGCTGCAGACAGGGCCCCGACCTCCTTGAGGGCAAGGGTCCTGATGTAGTCACCTTTTGTATCCCTCATGACACTGCCCCTCAGCTCACTGTCTGTAGAAGGTTCTCAGCAAATACTAACTCATTCAATGATTTAAATCAATATTTGCCTACACACCGAGGGGCAGTACTGTGGAATGTGCCTTTGGGTGTACATCCTGGTGATGGCAAAACGGGAATTCTGACATGGTCTCTGAAGAGCCCTGGGCCCTAGCACCCAGCTGCCCAGCGCTGCCAGCAGCCGGCCGCCTCCCTCTGACCTCACTCTTCCACATCTTAGAGGATGCCAGGATTTTGAGCTAGAACTGGCCTCACAGACTGGCCCAACGCTCTTCATTTTATAGGTGTTCCCATCTATAAATTGAGATCAAAATCTTTGCCAAGTTTCATGAATTCACTGCTTCTTCTTTCCCGGAGGAAATCTTCTTACACAATAGGAGATCAAAGTAGATCAACACATTCTTGGGCACATGTATGAAAGGCCCTGTGGGAGATAACAAAGACCTGTGAAAATTAGCCTCTGTTCTCAAGGGATGTAGAGTTTTGTTGTAGAAAAACACAATAGCCAGTGATATTAAATACTTCCCAGGGGCCACCCGTGGGGACTGTGTTCCCCCTGGAGTATATCATCTGTAACATTTAAAGCCATCAGAACCGTTTCCCAGCAAACTTTTAATTCCTAAGCAGAAGGGCCTGGAAAAATTCCTGTCTAGCCTTCCCTCCCCCTCCCCTTTTACTCTGATGTTTCTTCTTCCAAGAATACAAGGGCACACTACCTGTGTGAGCTGGCCAGGCCACTCTGCAACCAGAGAATCTGGGGGCTGGCTGGGTCCCAGCAATGGCACGCCCAGGCCTGCATGCCCTCCACATTTCTCGGGAAGGTTAAGTGAGCTTACCTGGCAGGACTCAGGCCAAAGAAGTGAAAAACCCAGACACAGTGGTTCATCAATTCCTCCAAAGTTTACTAACCAGGCAACGTATACAGACACTGACATCTTAAGGCAGTAACTGGGAGTCCCTGAAGACCAACGATCTAATACCTGTGGGTGACAAATAAGACTTGATGATCTGGTCTTCATTGCAAGTGCCGGGGCTTTTTTCTCTTCTTCTTTTTCCTTCTTTGACTTGTTAGGGAATTTTTCAGTAGGGTTATAGAAAAGCTTATTCCCAAGCTCAGATCTAATCAGGATTTTTCAACATCCTCCCAGTTCCCTGTGTAATAATAAATTATGTGTAATAAATAAATGCTATGACCAAATATTATTACATCGTGGGAGCAGTGTCCAGAGTGAGCCTTGCAGAAGCAGCACTTAAAGGCACCCTGGACATCCTGGTCACAGTTCTGGGGACAGGGCAATATTCAGTTCAGGGCTTGGCCTTCTGCCCTGGAAGGAGGCCAGGCTCCAAGCTTCTTTCTCCTGAAGATGACCCCACAGTCCTCACACAAGGAGCCCTACATCCACTCATGAGCCTGCATGTTGACCGCTCCAGTAATAGAGAAAAATGGGATGTCAGGATGCTTAAACTATTGTTCATTGGTGGCTTTAGATGGACAGAAAGTCCAAGAGCCACTCTCTCGCCCGGGCGTCTTTGGAGAGCCCTTTCCAAGCCTCCCTGGAGTGAGCTCTGCTGAGTTTAGCATTTACTGAGAAGATACTAAGTGCTGCGCCTGTACCAGGCACCTTAGGAAAAGGAAGACGGTGTCACAGTTTGTATCCTTGATGGCCTCAAACGACAGGCAACCCTGAAGCTGCTGAGGCGGATGTAATTATTAACCCAAAACAGGATAAGAGCCCGCTGCTCGAATAAAGTACTCACCAAGGTCTGCTCTTCTCTTGGATTTGGGCTCGATGAGGTCCTAAAGGAGGTACTTTTTCTCTGACGTTCCCTCTTTCTAACACTTCCTACCCACCGTGGATTTAAATGGCTGATGAGAGAAGGAAGCAAATTCAAAGTGCATGGGATGGGCAGGTTACTGTGTAGACAGATGCTCCCATTCCCACTGGGGACCTCTAGGAGATGGTGTAGACCTTGCCTGGCCTTGACCCCCCAGCCTGGGTGAGGAAGCTGGGGGACGAGTTGGCCAATTCCCTCTGTCACCGGTGGAGAGAACCGACCTCCGGCAAGTCTGCCCAGCCTGTAGGCCAGCAAGTTTCCGCAGACAGAGAAATCCCTCAGCCAGAGTCCCAGAATGTGTAGACCTGTGGAAGCGGGAGTGGGAGTGGAGCTGGGCAAGGCCTCACAGCCTCTGCCTCGTTCCCACAGGCCCGGGCCTGGAGCAGCGCTGCACGCCAAGAGGAGAGCCAGCAGGCGCGTGGGAAAGGTGAAATAAATACTCAGCCCAACCCCGGGAGAGGAATGCGGCCCCATGGGTGTGGGCCTCTCACCTCCACCAGGGGGTAGGGAATTGGGGGACGGAGGTGTTGTTTCATACAACTCTCTCTCGAGAGGTTTCCTTATGAAAACACAGAAGGGCTCAGGGAAACAGGTTTGAATTAAACTTACACATGGGTCCTTCACAGCCTGAGGACAGGCTCAGAGTGTCCTGTCTCACACTATCTTCCAGTGTAACGAGCAGATGCTGGGTAGGAATGTCTTGTGGTTCCTGCTTTCCGTCCTCACATAAGTGTTCTCCGAGACCAGGGTCCGATCTTGGGCCTCCTGGAACCTGCTCCATATTCCAAGCATCAGAGAGGGGTCAGTGTTCACGTCTTTCTGGCAGGTGGAAGTTTCTGTGACTTAGAAACGGGTCTATGAGAGGCTGTAATGAGCCAGCTTCCTGGGCACGGTGATGAGCCTTTCTGCTCATCCCACACCACCCAGGCTCGACAGGGGCTGGAAAACCCTGAGACCACGCTGGGGCTGAGACGTGGCCCACGTTCACATTGGAAGTGATGCTGCCTGGATTCTGGGTGCCAAGGAGTTTATTAGTACTTATGAGCTGCTCATCAGAATTGGGGGAAATCAGCCCAAACTCTGGCGGGAAGGGAGGGGTGGGGAAGGAGGCTGAGTGTGTGTTTGTCTGAACATCTGGGCACATGTTCAGCAGCCCTCCAGGTGATGGAGTCTGTGATGCTGCTAGGCAGCATGGCCGGGGGCTGCCAGGTGGCAGGGGGACCTAGGAGGAGCTGGCAGCCACTCCCTCCCCCTCTTCCCCTAGGTTCTGCATGCAGCAAAGAGAGCCGTCCAGTGTAAACCCCCTTCGTCCTCACAGTAGAGCAGACTGAAGCTCCCGAAGCATCCTGTCAGCTCTCTCAGTTTTCAACTGCATCACAGATGAACTGTTTAATCAGGAGAGAGTAGAGGCAAGGGAAAGTACATTTTCCTTCCTGACCGAGCGCTCACTCTGTGGTTGGGCGCCCAGCACAGTAACTGCTCTGTCCAGGGGTCTCCACAGGTAGGGGATCGTCTGGGGACACAGAGACACCTGGGACTGGGAGGTAGGCGCTGGGGGAGAGCCCTGTACGGGCGGGTAAGAGGCAGGTACGAGTCGGTACACGTTCCTGTTAATGTGTTTTCATCTACACTGACAGTGCTAACTGGTGAGGCACAGGTAGAAGCCCCAGTGTGGCTCCTCTCTCAAAGCCAGTTCCTTAGCAGCTGGAAGCCCAGAGAAGGTAATGGCTGTGTCCTGGGAAATGCCTAAAGCTCAAAGGTTTGGCTTTTCTCCACCAGCTGTTATTTTATTGTATTTAGAAAAACTCTTCAGTCCTTTCCTATTTCTACTTGGATAGGGCTGGGCTTTTTCCATCTTTATACACCTGAAACCTAATTCTTATAGACCTTGCTCACAGAGAATTTTATTTCAAGTCGTCTATCTTACTAGTAGGAGTGGTTGTTAAAACTGACCAAGAAGACTTCTAGAAAAGGCATCGCCAAAAGATGAGAGTTTTGAAAAGCAGCTGGAGTGGAAAGTTGAACGAAAAATGTGGCCCACATTGCGTTTGGCAACAGGAGCCGTAGGGACCTCATTCTAAGGAGGGGCCAGACCACTCACTCAGCCTTCATAAGAGGCTTCAGAACCAGCCCTGCTGGCTTCCCCAACCTTCACCTGGCTCCCCCCTGCAACATAAGCAGGGAACCAGGGGAAGGAAGACAGAAAGGACAAGTTTTCACCAGTGCAGTGTTCACAGGGAGAGGTTACTTCCTCCCCAAAGCTACGTGGAGAGTTGGATGTGCTGGAAGACCGAGGGGGCTATGTGAGTGGGACAGAATGTGGTGAAACTGGGAAAGTTCTTGGGGGGCCCAGCATGTGTGCCTGGAGTGTGGAGACCAAAAGCTGGAGGTTTCTGAAGGCAGAGGCCTGAAGGATTAGCGTGGGTAGAGGTGGGAGGGGGCTGTCTGGTAGTTGCTTGGCAATGAGTCAATGAGCCAGCGGGCCAAGTGAGGAAATACCCACCCGGAGAGGAGGGTAAAGCCACAGACCAATGATGGCCAAAAGGAGATACAGCTGCCCTAAGGGGGCCTCAGTTCAGGGGTGTGACTGGACAGGGCCCAGAGAAAACCTTGCCCCCATTTATGTGGAGACCAAGCACACCAGCGCAAATTTCCAGTATCATATGCACCCCGACCGAGCCAAGACAAGACTAACACCACCTTCCCAGCACAGTTAGATGACCAGTGGTGTTACATCGCCCTGATTCTCCCCCTTCTTCTTCCCCGTCCACCCCCACCCCCAACCTAGAGCAAACTGACCCTGAAAGGGAAGGTGAAGAAAGAGAGGGCAGACCACACATACCATCCTACTTCAGGTCCTGAGCTGAAGCCTGACTATCCCATTGAGACAGGAAAGGGGAGATTTAAATTGGACCTGAGATTGGAGTTTTGACTCTGACAGGGCTGGACACTGAGTGTGGCCAGTGAGTTATGGAATCTCCTTAAGACATCAGTACAGGATGGACAGAGGTGGTGACTGGGGAAAAGAACACCTTCTTACACTTGTTCCCCACTTAGCTGAGATGCCTCAAACTGTTTTTGCAGCCATGAATTCTAGGAACTTTAAGAACACACTTTCTTCTTGAAACACAAGATCTCAAGAAAGCTAGAAAATGGAGCAAGAGTGGTTTCCTTGTTTGAGGCAGAGATCTGAAAACTCTGAAACATCCCTCAATGCCTGGAGAGCTATTTCTTGAAGATTTGTCACTACACAGTGTATCAGTTTCCTATGGCTGCTGTAACAAATTACCACAGACTTAGAGGCTAATACAACACAACTTTATCACCTTACAGTTCTGTAGGTAAGAGGTCCAACATGGGTCTCCTTGGGCTGGAATCAAGGTTTCGGCAGGGGTACACTGAGTGCCCACAACGCACCACTTCAACCTCCTCTCTTGCCTCCCTCCTCCACTTTTGAGGACCTTGTTATCATATCGGGCTCACCTGGATAATCCAGGATTATCTCCTGATCTTAAAGGCATTTGGTTAGCAACCATAGTAATTTCATCTGTAATCCTGATTCCCCTTTGCCATGCAACCTAACACAGTCACAGGTTCTGGGGATCAGGATGTGGACAGCTTTGGTGGCCTTTATTCCCCTCCCACATGTAGCTTACACATTATTGAATTCAATTTAATTAAACAAAAATGCGTGTGATCCTCACAATACACAAGCCAAGATTCAATCACATTCCATCACCTGCCTCACAGGGGTTCTGTGAACTAGAGAGGCAGTAGCCAGGAGATGGCCGGACTTTCATCATGTCTGGAGGGTCACACCAAAGCCGGTCCATCCCAATGAGACCCCAAGCAGGGGCAACAGCAGGAACACGCACCCTGCACGCACCCCGGAGGTAAGGGGCTCGGCACCCCTTGCTGCACTCGCTGCTCTACTGACACCTGGACTTACCCTTTCCACTGATAAGCACCTTCTGTTGCAAGGTTCTGGACTGCAAAATCCCAGGCATCCTTCACCAGTTTCAGGAGCTGCAAGATGCTGCTGACTTAGGGAAGAAGAAAGGTGGTGAAGGGCACTGTCACCGGCACTCCTGAGTGCTGAGGCTTACCTTTCTCTTAGGGTGGAATGTTCTGGCTAAAACCTGCATTTGCACAGGTGCTACAGCCAGTGTTGGAGAAAGGGTTGGAGTCAACTCCTCCTGATGTTCAGGGAGGGCTTAGGGTGGAAGGCTCTCCAGAGCCCAGCACTATTAACTCCGCCTGCTGGGATGGGGAAGGGTGCGAAATCCTTACGACTTTCCATATGTTTCAACACCGGTGTCTGTTCCCCTCCCCTCCCTGCTCAGGCTCCACTAGCCATTCTTGTCTGGCCTCCAAATACAGAAATGGGAATCCACCCCAAGCCAGGACCAGGTTCCCGAGACTTACAGGTGTCCTGGGCTGGGGGAGGTGTGAAGAGCAGGCTTCTGTAAAGCTTCACTCCCTCACACGTCGATCTATCAGTCAGGCACTCTAAGGTCAGGGGGCCCTTCTCTTATTAATGGGCCCAGCATCTTAGGTTGGCCCTTCTGGTCCAGCGCAGCCCCTGGACATCAGAACTTTCCCGCTAATGCTCTTTCCCCTGTCCTGTCATCAGGCACTTTGAGGACACGAGCCCAGATTCAGACCACCCTCATCTATGGAGTCTGTCCGCTGAGCCATCCATTAGTGACCCCCTTCCCCCTGGAGCAGTGCCCACCATCCCCAGGTCTTTTACACAAAAGTTCTTGTTCTTTTTCTTTTCTTGCGCAACAAGCCTTAACAGCTTGTTGGAAAGGACACGATGTTCTGTTAAGCCCTTAGGAACATAAGGACTTATTTACTCTCCTGGAGAGTAAGAAGGGCCCAGTCCTCCGTTAGAAACACAAAACCATCGGGACCATGACCCAGCCCTCCCCCAGGAGCATTCATTCATTTAAGATGAGGTCATCTTCTCCAAAAAATGGACCAAAGGTTTTCCTCCTGAAGCACAGAAATCCACTCTCTAAGCACATTTTCTGTAATGAGCATTATTACTATCATCCTGGAAAAAATAATCACCTGTATTTGTAAATGTTTGAATAGCAAGGCTGTGTGGATAGCAGTCAAATGCAACTGTGTTTCTGACTAGAGAGACCCGTTTCTCTCATTTGGATGTGGAACCATAGCCTTACGTGACGATTTTGTCACAATTGTTTTAGAGATGAGTATACACGGACGTTTCCCACCCCAGAAAGAATTCTGCACTAGGTCAGAAGACCTGGTTGCTAGCCTAGTTCTTTCACTGACTTGACCTTGAGCCTCAGTTCCTTCTGTCAGGAGG